TATAAAAAAAATGCGTCAAGTTCGTAAGGATGCTCGTCGCCACCATAGTCCACGTGGTAAAGGAGATCTGCAACCCTCTCTTAAGTGCATAGACGGGCCACATCAGGTGCCAGAAGAGACCAGCTCTGAGCCCCCCCTCCCTACACAAGTGCTTACATGCACGTCTAGCCTTTTTGGCACACACACGTGCTATTAGGAGGGTTGGGATCAGTGCCACATGCAAGGCGGAACAAGGGCGATTATGTTTTCGCGCAAAATAGTAACAATGAAACAATTAGTTTTACTGTTGATGCTTAATGTATGATCTCCCTTATAATAAGAATACGCTTGTACATGTTACACGATGCCATTTTACTCCAAATGAGAATTATTGTATGAGGTGTCCCAAGGCACAAGATTCCTCATGTTTCCTAAATCGTTCCAAACAATATTTCCAAATCGTGGCAATGGTTTCCTTTGCTACTGTAGCCTACGCCCTCTCTCCCTGATTGGCTCTCGTTGAAGGCAGGGCCATATAAATACGCTCAAATTCATCTCTGTCTTTCTTTTTTTTGGGAAGCTCGCGTCGCTCTCGGTAAGTCCACTTCTGAAATGATGTGTTGTGCAGAAGTCGAGGCGGGTCAGTGATGAACAAATGAAGAAAAGGCTGCGCCTCTGCTGTTAACTTCTTTAACTGATAGACGGTGACACTTTTGGAAGCTGCTTTCAATGTGCTGACTCAGTTTTCCATCTTTTCTGAAAGTTGCCTGATACTCTAACAAGTTAAATACATGATATTTCTAGAGTGATGCCCCATACATGTACACGGCCTGTGCACTCGAATAAAGTGTTTGGGGTTGATATGCGCTCGAGTGCTCCTTTGCGCGTCTTTGGAAACAATAGCATGCCATTTGCATTCAACTACGTGTCTTCCCTGCTGCCATATTTTCTCGAGTCTCCGGTCGTTTTTCATCGTCTCTTTTCAATTCTTGCCGTTTTTGCCGCAGATGCATTTAACAGAAAGTTAATTAATTCACCTCCCTCAGTGCCAGTTTTTGACCTCCAGTCCTCTTGCTGACTGTCTCTTGGCGCCTGAGGTCTGGAGAGTAGCCCAAATTTCTTCACACAGAACTTCATGCTTTGGCCAAAAAATGTACTTGAAGAGGCCACCAGATGATGGCAGTCAAACCTATACAAAAATATTTAAAAAATACAAAATACGTATGTGGCTTTAATAGATTTTGTGGGAAAATAAAGAGAATTTTCCTGACACACCGATTTTCACTCATGCCTGTGGAATTTGACAGATTTCACCCTAAAGTGTGAACCCTTTTTTTCCACCACAGATACCAGCATGCCTGTCATCAGAACCCTCAGCAAGGTGGTCAAGCAGGCTCTGCTCAGCACCCCGGGCTGCGGTTGTCAGCCCCTAACGGTGGCTGTACGCAACATCAGCTTCTCCCCTCGGCAGGTGACTTCTGATGCCAGCTTCCACTCCGTGTCCTTCTCAGAAACAGACCACCCCAAGGTGCTGATTACAGGTAGGTTTTTTTTTTTTTTTGGTATTTTATGACACCTGTTAAACATCGTAGAGCAAAGTCCTTTTAGACAAGAGGTCCAGTTGCAATTTTTTCTATCATACATGGTAGTTAAGATGAAGGCTCTGCAGAGATTGAAGAGCACCAGGATTTTTAACAAGTTTGGAAATGAACGTAGAAAAGGATGAAGATTAAAAGTGTGGGCGTGTAGTGCTCTGACCTTCTTTTTCGTATTGCCCACTCTCCTTCTTAGTTACTTCAGTCTCCATGGAGACCAGCACTGATGATTATTAGCTGCTGGTGATTTGTGCGGTGTGATGACACCTAGTGTTTCTCTCTCCATGTTATGCAGGTGGCCTGGGACAGCTCGGAGTGGGGCTCGCCAAACTGTTGAGGTAAGATTTCTAATTAGTTTGTTTTCCAAAAATCACACATCACTGGCTGACAGCTGGCAAATAGCCAATTGCCAATTACATTGCATCAATGTGAGAACAATTTCTGATCTATTTTCAAGTTGTATAACAATGACTTCCTGCTTCACAGAAAGAGGTTTGGAAAGAACAATGTCATTCTGTCTGACATCAGGAAACCTCCAAGCAACGTTTTCCACAGCGGTGAGTCAACTCGTATACTGTGCTGTATTAGAATCTGTAGTCTGAAATTAATCAGATTCAGTAACGGTTTCATTTCAAGACAGGCCAGATGGCAGGACGGTGTATCTGATTACGTCCATTCAAGTGCATTCACCCTCAAGAGACAAGACCTAGATGTCATAAACATGCAATTATATTTCTTTAGTGTCTAGAAAATCTTTCATCACATCAAAATCCACAAAGTTGTGTTCCTTTGTTGAGTGTAGCTATGACTAATTCCGCAACCCTTTAAAAATTCAAGGATTTGGAAATGAAGGTGGTTAATGTGTCACAAATGGCTTTATTGCCAAATAACAGAACAAACAAAGCCTGTCTGGTTCTTATTGATTTTCTTTCATTCATGCGTAAGAGGAAGTCACATTTTTCTGTTCTTATGTTGAAAATTCCTCTAAATCAATATGTGACGCATGGTGACTTTGTTCTGCTAATGTCCAGCAATGAGCTTTACGAAGAGGAAATGGGTTTAACAGCTTTGAGCTGTAAACAACATTGAACTGGAATACATGTAACAGGAAAGAAATATTCATCAACACCTTAAGAGCTGTTTGAGAAATATTTCCAAGAAAGGGGAAGGACACACTCTCAACAACTTTACCGTAAAATAACAGTAACTTACTGGCAGCAGGGATGCCAGTAATTTACAGTTTTTTTTACGGTGAACCAAATTTACTTTTACGGTATCTTACCGTATACTGGATTACGGTATGTGATAGTAGGATAACTGGGTTTTACGGTGATTTTAAGGTATATGCCAGAATGTTACCGTTTATTTACAAAGGGTAATACAACCCAATACTTTTGCATTTAACTCCTAACAAATAAAATAATAACAAAAAACATTCAATACATAATTGTTGCAGTTTAATACATGTTCTCAAGACAAACAATAAAGATACATTTGTATTACATCACAAAACTCACAATGTACTGCATGTTCAGAAGAAAACAAATAAAATTTTGGCAAACCACTCTAGGGATAGGTACCTACGGCTGAACAGCATACCACTCTAGGGAGAGGTACCTACCACAGTGTCATTCCCTCAGACACTGAATTAAAATAGCATTAAGAACAGTGTAATATAACTGCATCACAGTCTAGCTTGTTAACAAGTCTTATACACATTTATAGTTAAGTTGAACTGCATGAACTCACACATGAATGAAAACAATAAAGAGAGAGAACACCTTAAAAGAGGACTTGACTGCAGCGTCTGGCTGGTATCTTCAATCTCTCACGAGTGACTGTAAAACAAACAAAATAAAAAAAATTAGAAACACAATGTTCTGAACTTCTGGAAAGTTCTATGACATCCAGGATAACTACACTTAAAAGAAGCTTTGGGTGTGCAACTGTGGGTTCGCATGTGCCTCACACATATTAACATATCAGTGCAAGTCTTTGCAAAAAGCTAATACAAGAATACCATACATTTTAAATTAACAGATGAGCTGATTACGTCAGGGGAAGAAATTAAGCTAAGACAATGGACCAGAATGGACTAATGTTCAACACTAAAATGAGTTTGATCTGGTTTAATGTTGCTCCTGGGATAACACACACGTATTGTTACTGTTAGCGTTACCTCAACTGTTCATCGCCTTGAACACGTAGCCGATTTCTGGTCCCCTCTCCCTTTTGATAATCGTCCCGTATGCGGTCCTACAGTCGGTTCTATAAGAGCACAAGTAAACACAAGTTGGGTTACTAATGTTACATCTTAACACTGTAATTGGTGATTAACTTTATTTATGTTAACTTAACTTGCTATGCTGTTAGCTAGCTAACCTTTCTAAGGCTAATTGAGCTCGAGCTAGCTAACGTTACAGAGCTAGCTCCACTAATATAAGCAACCTAATGTAATGAAACGGACCAAGTGAAACATTATCTGAGATGTTAACAGTTCAATAATCATGAAGACAAAACAATACTGGAGACTTCGAATTTCGGGTGATAAGCCTAAGTTACCTCGGTTGATCTCCACATGGCTCAGAAGGATGAACTGAAGCTGTTGTGTCCAAAGTCACGTTCAGGAGCAGTCGGTCACGTCTTGTCACTCAAAAATGACTTGTAGGCAATGAGCAGTTTTGAATAATAAAAATATTCTATCATCATTACAGACACATTAACCTACAATAGACAGTACGATGTAGATGGATTGTGATTCATTGAAGTTGTATAAAGAAGCGTATATCCACCTCTTCAAAAAAAAAATACTGTATCATGCTGTTAAATTACGGTAGTCTGCTGTTATTGTTAATTGACGGCATTCACTGTTAATTTACATGCAAGGGATGAACATTTAACTGTATGTTACAGTTATTATGAAATACTGTAAGATACCGTTGAAAATTTACAGTAATTCATTACAGTGCAGATCTATTACCAGCTGGCATTGGCCCTGAAACACAAGCAGCATATACAGTATATACTTTTGCTTAACAATGATACAATAACTTCTAAATAAATACTTTATACAATAAGAATTGAACCGCTGATTTATAAATACTTCAATCACATTTATCACCGTCAGGCCCCTTCATCTACTCGGACATCTTGGACTACAAGAACCTGCGGGAAATAGTGGTGAACAACCGCATCACTTGGCTGGTTCACTACAGCGCCCTCCTCAGTGCTGTTGGAGAGGCGAACGTAGCCCTGGCGCGCTCTGTAAACATCACCGGTAAGCACTTGCTAATTTCATCTTATTGGGTCTAAAGGTCACAGTAATTAGAGTAAAAGATCGTTCCCTTACACGTAGGTGAAGTGTGACGTCCTAACCGGATGCTTCTTTGTGTGTTCCTCAGGGCTTCACAACATCTTGGACATTGCAGCGGAGCACGGCTTGCGTCTGTTTGTCCCTAGCACCATCGGTGCCTTTGGTCCCACCTCTCCCCGCAACCCTACACCAGATCTCTGTGTGCAGAGACCTCGCACCATCTATGGTGTCTCCAAAGTTCACGCTGAGCTGATGGGAGAGGTTAGAGCTCAGATTTCTTTCTTTCTTTTTGTCACAGATGCCACATAAACCATACACTCCTCTGGATATACTGGCATTATTCCTCTCTTCCCACATTTAAATTGTTACATTTATTGTAGCATATTGGTACATGCTGTGAGAACCCATTTCATATTTTCATTATGTTATCAATAAAGGATTTCTCTCTTTTCCTTGGCAGTACTACCACCACCGTTACGGCCTGGACTTCCGCTGTCTCCGTTACCCAGGAATCATCTCTGCTGACTCCATGCCAGGGGGCGGCACAACAGGTGAGAGAGATGAGGTTGAGATAAGGTTTCAACTTTAATGTTGTCTATTCCTGTACCGCTCCCGTCATGTCACATGTTTATTATGTAACTGACTTAGTCCAGAGAGTTGTTGAAGCTTGTATTTTTAGGGCGCCAGGTTTATCTTCGTATTTTCACTTGTCTGTACAGCTACCACACCCGTCACACCTAAAATCTGTTTCATAAGCGTCGTTAAAGATTTGTTGACTGTTGCACTTTTTCCTTTTGTTGCACTAAGGTTCAGCAGAATTTAAATAATCACAATGTTTTTTTATTTCTGTCTCTGATCAGACTATGCCGTCCAGATTTTCCACGATGCAATCAAGACTAGCAAGTTTGAGTGCAACTTGAAACACAGCACGCGGCTGCCCATGATGTACATTGACGACTGCTTGCGTGCCACGCTGGAGGTAATGGAGGCGCCGGCTGACACACTGAGCATGAGGACCTACAACATCAACGCCATGAGCTTCACCCCCGAGGAACTGGCCCAGGAGCTCCAGAAGCAGATGCCCGAGCTGGAGATCACGTATGACGTTGACCACGTACGGCAGGCCATCGGTATGTCTCCTTTTGTTGCATACTGAAAGATGTGGCCACAAGTGCTAGATACAAGACAATTGATACGTTTTACCTTCATTTCTTGAGATTCTCTTGAGTCAACTGCTTTAAATATATCACCATTTGTTATCACTGACGTGCTGAAATGTAGAGTACGAAGTAAACAAACTGACCTCATTTACACAGCAGTATCTATTTAAAGTTAGCCAACATTAGCCACCATAAACTACTGGTCATACCAGACCAAGTAAAGCTATAGCAGCAAAACCTCAGAGTGTATTTAGCTGGTGGTGCGTTATATTTCTATTATATTGTGTTTCTTGTTTCAAAAAGTTTAATAATCTGGCTTTAAGGTAAAGAGGCTGACTTTAATCAGAAACTGATGCAGGCTGTAAATCAAAACCAGCACGTTTTTTTTATTAAGTAAGTCTTTCTTATCTGTTTCTTTCCAGCTGACAGTTGGCCAATGAACTTCGACGATTCCAACGCACGGAAGGACTGGGGCTGGAAGCATGATTACGATCTGCCCGAGCTTGTCCAGACGATGCTTACCTTCTTTGGCGCAGAGCCGCGCATGGCTCGTGCTAACTGAGGGCTCACAATATCCGTCTGAGTATTCTTTGTACATAATGTAAAGACTCACCAAAGAGAATAGAGAAACTTGGCCTGTACATAGTCGTTCTCTCGCTTCTCTCTGTAAAATCAGAAGGGCTCTGCATGCCTGGCACAAGGCTACCGTGTCTTCAGAATGTAAAGGTCAGTGCGGGCTAGACAATCGTCCCCCGCTCCTGTTATCTACTCCTGCTGTGCTCTTTTTCCTTGTTCTTTTGCTTGGAGATTTGTGGCGAAGAGCAGTTTGTCAGTGGAAGTTTTCCGTCGGCGATAACAACGTGCCCCGTGACAACTTATTTGGAGGAAAAAGAAGATGACTTGCATGTTGATAAATTAAGCAAAAATTTATTCAACAAACTCAGAATTTTGCCTTGTGAATTTGTCAACGTTTCCACCAGTTTTTCTTTGCAAATCGATCAGGGTTTAGTTTTCAGCTAAATTTCAAAGTGGTATTCAGGTATTCTGGGCCTAAAGCTCCTGGGGCTAAAATCAAGTAAGTTTGTATTGAGAGGTGTACAAATACACAAGTTGTGTCCTTTGATGCACTTTAGACAGATTCATATTTTAAAGTTACACACAAGTGAATCAGTCCAATCAACTGGGGGGGGGGATTTCTGATTAAGTGCATCTGTATTTCGAGCAGTGTGGAGTGAAAATTCTTAACAATTGTTCTTCTGTTTATTCCACGTACGATTATTTATTCTGTCTATTTGTGTTAAATGTGTGGGAGCTCCATCGAGTGAAAGCATTTCTTAACACTGTTTTGAAGTGTTCCTGTCCACTTTTTCAACTTTGTTGGGTTATTTTGTCGAGAAATATGACTCTGTCTGCAACATTTACGTTTGACCACATTTGGTCGTTTCTGTGTGTCAACATTTTGTTTGAGGAGTGCTGTAATTGGTTTCTATGTGAAATCTGACTGTTCTTCGGATCACACAACAAGCTTTGACAATAAAACTGTTTTCCACTCACATGTATCTGTCATTGTTCTCTCCTTCACAACAAGTTCATCAAGACTGTCTTACATAAATTCGCCGCGGGCAACGTTGCCTCAGTTCCAGCCCGCTGGGTGGTGGAGAACATACCACGGTAAACATTTGAGTACAAAATGTCCTCGCCGAGAAAACTTCACTCCTGAGGAAACCGATCCGTCTGTCTTTACTATGAGAGTTTTAGATGTGTTACATTTTAAAAGAATGTATTACCTTTTGTTTTAAAGCAGTACACAGATGCTTTAAAACAAATTTGGTTATAAGTTATGCAAGCTGTGGAGCGTGAGATGGATCTGACTTACAGCACTTGCATCGGAGCATGAACTTAGTGATTTTGTTGGGAATTCTGTGGAGTAAAGCTTTATATGCAGGATCACTCTCAAAGGATTTTTTTTAGATTCACCTCAAATTTGATCTTTTGATCTATTTGTTGATTTATTGACTATTACAATAGTCTGCAAAGAAAAGGCGGATTGCATATCCAGCATTTTTGAACAGGTTGAAACCAGTCTTGCCTGATTGCACACATGAGAAAAATATGCAGAGAGATGCTGCAGTGGACGGTGCGAAGGTTTGAGCTTTTGGCAAGTAAGACCTGTAATTATGATCTATAAATTACTTTCTTTTGGTCCAAACCAAAAGTGATTCAGAGCATCATAAGACAAAGAATCCAAGAATCCAAGAGTTGGAATGTGCATTCGTGTAAATTTGAGAAAACGCATCCAGCAGTCAAGATAACATTTTACGCCAACCAAACAAAAAACCCAGATGAGAAAAGTGTCGTCCTCAGCACATCAATAAATGCATTAAACTGCAGCTGTATTTTCTTCACGGCATGGGACCATAAACTGTAACCCTGAGGACAGCAATGTCCTTCACTATACACTTGATAGCCTGTCTTCAATTTCTCTGTGTCAGTAATTGGAGTTGCTCCAGGTGACCTGGTTTGTTTTGCAGTTGTGCTGCGGAGGCAAAATAGCTCAGAGGGAGACAGACTGCCTGAGTGCGATGAGAGATTTGAATTTCAAACTGAATTAAATGTTAAGGTATGGTGCATTTTCTATTTGGTCTTAATCATGAACCACTCAGACTGAAGAGCTCGCAGGCTTTCAATAAAACTGCAGGTGCACTCTCTGGTTTGGAATCAAAACTTACTATTTACTCATCACAAACCTCACCAAACCTTCAGAAAGTGTATGCAGGCTTTATCACACATCCTTATAAGTAGGAATGATTTCACACTCACATTCAGCAGAAGTTCTGCAAATAATATTATCTTTGTTGTCCTAAGATTTTGCAGCTTGTGTAACGTGGGAAGATGTTAACACCTCATGGGAATGGACTCTAATCATTACTGGCATGCCTACAAAAATGTGTCAAAATAGCAGCATTTTTTTTTTTTTTTGTAGTTTTTTGTTTATCATAAAAGGGTTTCAGTTCACAAGACATAGAACAGGGAACCAAACTGTGCCTGTGATGATAATTTAGTCCTTTCAATTGATAAAGTCCTTTTTTAAATAAGATATTTAAACAGGATTTGCAGTGGCTCCAATGTAGCCCACATCTCGAATAAAGTTTCCGTGCCGTAGGGAACAGAGTGTCTTAACACTGACAAATAGCTGCCAGTTTGAGATGGTCTTAACTGAGAAAGGCCTAAAGGGAATTATGCAGGACAGGAAAATCGACATACAGCTTCTAGAATTCACAGCACATATGCAAACAAATGTAATGCATGGGCATGTTTTTCTGAAGGCAACACAAACCTGCATACAAATTTTGTTTTGCATGCCCGTGAATGTGACTGAACAATGTGCGCCTCGCAGACGACGCTTTCAATTGGAGGGGTTGTGGAAGAAGGCGTTTTGAAACACAAACAAAGAGGCTCGTGACGGGGGTCCTTTACTCCCTACTTCTTGTTCTCTCTCTAGTAATGGGAACCTTGTCTCTTATGTAAGGCAGTCTCCCTGGGTGTGCACACACGCTTGCAGGCCCGCCTTCCACCGGCCAATCAGGAGGCTTCCTCGAGCCCCCTGGGCCCCGGGTGTTTTGTTCGTCATCGTGTAATAAGATTCACACAGTGTGCAGCAGCTTACGTTGGACCCGGGCAGAAAGTGAAGGACGAGACATAAAGAAGGCCGGGGGAGGGAGCTGCTGGGCAGTGGGCCAGAAACGCCATAACACTCTGTGCCGCAGCTGTTATTCTACATGGAGACCTGTTGCCATGGTAATAGAGCCCGAGACCTCACCACCGCCTTCCTCTTACCCTCAAGCCTCAAAGGGAATGTAAAGGCCTACTGTATATATCACTGCCTTACAGTTACAGGCTTTCAGTCAGCTGAGTCAAAACAGTCTTCTTGTGGCTTCTTGCGCTGTACATTTTGAATGACATTTTGGACCTGATCTGACTTAAACATTGGGAGTGCATATTGCATTTATGAAGTCATTTGAAATCCGGACATAATGGCTGTAATATACAAAGAACTCTTTCAAGGTTAGCTGAAAAAAGAAGAAGAAAAAACAGGGAGTGGAAAGATCAGGTGATACTGCACAGTATCATGATTCCTATTGTCAGCTTCTCTATAGCACACATTCAGGTTAACAATCTTTGCTGTCACTGATCCCTTTCAGGCTTCTGACACAGTTACACAACCTCGCCTTAATCCCATGCTTTACATAACATGCTTATTAAGTGTGGTGCAATATTATACAGTTTTGGCTGTAATGCAATGCCACGATAAAAATAATCTCATCTCATAACATCTCATGCACCTCAGGAGAGGACATGTGTGTTACATTCATGTTTAGTTTTTGCACTTGTTTATTCTCATCCCAATGTTTCCCTGCAGGTATCATATCATTAATCCCTTTTTAACGGAAATACATTTTCCCCTCACATGGGGAAAAAACGTTTCCTTACTGACAAACATTTTTTAAACATTGGCTCCTTTCCAAGGCTCACCACTCCTGAAGGTGAACCAAGTCAGCTGTTTTCAAAACAAGCCTCCTGGAATTTTATTTGCACAAATAAATCCACGCCTTGTGTCCTTAAGCACACAGGAAATGTACTGGCAACACCATATCAAGACTGCAGTTGTTCCTTTTGAAAAGGCTTAAAAATGTCCCTAGAAAGCTTGTATAACCCATAAGTAGCTCAAGGACACTCACTTTTACGGTATTCAATTGTAATCAGTTAATAAACTGAAGCTGCAAGCACTCCCGGCTCCATACTTTAACACCCAAACAGCAGCTGTAAATGAGATTGACACAACCACCCAGTAATTTCCTAGAAACTTGGGCTATACAAACTAAATAGAATTGAATGATCATTTGTTGTGATATTTCTGTCAGTAGGCCTACGAGAAGCAGCTCTATGCCCAAACACTTTTGAAATGTGATCTTGTACAGATGAGGCTGAGTGCATCACATGCATCAGTACAAACAGTATGACATTGTCTGCAAGAGCACATTAAGCAATGCTTGTTTGAGTTGGGCAAACCATAGTTTGCTTTGGGTGGAACTTGGGGACTAAATTATTGGGCTGATATCAGCTGATCACAAATATGCCTACGTATTGGAAGATATGAAGTCACGAAATATTAGTAGTTTGCATTTTTTGTTGTGGTAGGCCTATTTGTTATATACACAAACAATTGTTACAATAAAGGTGAATACGAACATTCTATTTTTCAATATGATAAACTGAATATTATATTATCGGGCTGTAGTTTGGGTTCATTGAACCTGAGTGACCCAGTACACGTAACATGTTTATATGCTGTGGGTTTGTGGCTGTGGCGCTCTCTGTTGGCGAAGATAACTACTTGCAGTGATGCTAAAATATTATATTATATATTGTTATAATAAACGACAAATTAATATGCTTTCATCCGTATGGAATACCACACACAATTAATATCTTATCGGGATATGTTTACGCAAACAACCAGCGTGGTCCTGCTCGTATTCTCTTCAGGCATTTTCTGGGAACCCTACGCGACTTACCGCTAGCTGTTTAAGGACCCCAAGATGTCTATGCTTGCTGAGCGTACGTGGATTTTTGTTAGACTTTTGACGGATATTTCCCCTTTTCTTTAAAAATAACAATATGTATTTTGTGTTTTGTGTTCGCTTAAAACCACTGCTACCCACGGTGGAGAGGCTTTGTTCTGAAAGTTTTCTGTATTTCGTACTTGTCAAACTATTCGAGTAGCTAACATTAGCATTAGCATATCAGTCTGTGCAAACCGACACGTGTTTCTGCAGTAACTTGTCATTAGCTCAGTTTAGCTTAACTGTGTTGTCTTTTATGGCCTAATATTTGTATTAATCGGTGTGCTTTCTTTCTATTAAACGTGCTGTAAGCGATGGCAGGTTGTTCTCTCATAGCATGGTCTTTCGTTGGACTTGAGTCCAGCCTGGCTTCTTCCCTGACAGTTGTCAACCATTGTGTTAATAGTACATGCATATGACACCTCTATATGACGTATGCCTTAGTAAGATCAGACTACTAAAAGGATTTTAAATATGTGAGCTGTGTATTTAATATAAGGCACAGGGCAGTATCACAGCTGCACCGGGATAGGGCTACATCTGATGTATCTGTGTGTTAACAGAAACTGACTATACAGCGCGTTTAAACGCATTATTTGTCCTCTCTTGAATCTACACAGTAGGTCTAACGGTGGTCAGCGTCTCCTTTGAATTGCTCGTGCTGCTCGTTCATGTAATGTTTTGTTGGATGGCTGTTATGTAATGATGCTGCTGCTCTCTTTTCCAGCCCGGAGGAAGCAGAAGTGGTCCGTGGACCCGAGGAACAGCGCCTGGAGTAAAGATGAATCCAAATTCGGCCAGAAGCTGATGGAGCGAATGGGCTGGTCCAAGGGCAAGGTGAAATGGATGTTTCTTGTTGGATCAAATGTGGTGATCTCTTAAGACATTTGACAATGAATGGATCAGTTGATGACACATGTTATGTCCTCTCTTTTCTCGTTAAGGGCCTGGGCCGAAGTGAGCAAGGCTCCACTGACCATATCAAAGTTAAAGTTAAAAACAACCACTATGGTCTTGGAACCAGTGCCAGCTCTGAGGTGAGCATATTTAACACTTTTAGACGCAATAATTAAATTAGATAATTGTGTTGCTCTGTTAGTTTTTCACCATTTTCATAAAGGGAGGATTCTGCAAACTGGCAACTGAGTGTAGAAGGTCCATATTTATATCTCTTAGGACTTTTGAAATTGTCTTAAAAGATGTAAGGATATGTTATTGTCAAGCCGAATTCTGTTGTGTTGAGATCTGTCATTTTCACAGGATAACTGGATCGCACACCAAGATGATTTCAACGAGCTTCTTGCTCAGCTGAACAACTGCCATGGACAAAACGGCAGCGCTGGTGTGTATGAACGATACGATCGGCAGTGTTAATATGTGTCACTTATGACTCACACCAGTACTACATTATCTAGAGTTGACACATGATGTATATACATTCCTGCTGTGGCTCTGTTTCAAACTACATGACTACACCAAAGTGCAGCTATTTGAGTGTGTTCCATCTATTGGACAGTAGAGGGTGCTGCACTGCAACATTTCGATACCTGCTGTCATACAATGAACATCTTCATTATCACTGTTCTGGGAGACAAAGCACATTACTCTCTTATGAGAGAAGAGAATGCAATGATGCTGAATGCTCATCTTCAAATTGTAACTTCTGGTAACTATAGTATTCTTGTATTTTTTTTTCAGTATCTAAAGAACCTCCACCACCAGAGGAACCCAAAGGCTTCAGTTTAGAAGAGAAGTCCAAGACCTCCAAAAAGAGGGTCCATTACATGAAGTTCACTAAAGGTGAGTTTATCTTTTGGCAGCAGACAGAGATCAGAGGGATACAAATAGACCAAGAGGATGCTGTTTCTTTTCTTATTCTCAACAGTCATTACCTTGATTATGTATCAGGAAACAAACTCGGCCAAACTGGATCAAGTGTTCATCACATAGTAAAAAAATCTGCCCTGAAAATGTTTGTTTTAGATAAAATAGTTTCAAGGCAACCGTCTACTGATTTCAGCTTGGCACCTTTTTTCTAAGCAGCTACTACAGTGTGTGCCTCTCCTTTTTTTGTTTTCCACTTTCCATACAATCCACCCAGACGGACAGAAAGCCTCGTTAACCATTCGTTGAGCCGTGTGCACTTGGCTCAGAACACAGATGCTGATCAGAGCCCTGTCAGGCCGTGCTGGGTCACTTGGCCCGGTCAGTGCTAGGGGAGGTTATTAATAACTCTTCCTTCTACTTTCATTACTCCTTTACAACCCAGGAAGCCAAAATCTGCTGGTCAAGGCCAGTGCACTGATAGGCACGAGGAGGAATTTGGTGTTCGGGACCACTGGAGACTGAAATGAATAACCTCTAACTCATAGTTTACTGCTGGGCTGCTTCTGCTTAAGCATGGGGCATAGTTGAGTGATTACGGTATTCATTAGTAATGAGGTTTTGATGTTGAACTTGCAAACTTTGCAATACTAAGCTGATATTAATGTTGGTTATTTTTGTTGCAGTAATTCTACTAAGTCCTTTGGCAGAAAAGTAATGCAAGCTCATCAAATATCAACATGTGTTAAAGTAATTACTCTACAATAGTTTTTGTTATTGGGTTCAGATGAACCTCATCGGGTCAGCATACATGGGAAAACAAAATCTCAACTTTTGCCTCACCTGGAAGAGCATTTTATATTTTACGTCATTCAATAGCAACTTCCTGTTTCCTGTTTGGGGCATCTGGCATGTCCATTTACTGGCCCCCCCAAAAACAACACCTCCCAGAGGCTGCGTGACCCATTAGATGACCCGGCCAGATAACGCGTGTCCTCCGTCTCTTCCCCAGACCCTCTCACCCTGTTTTTGTGATCTTAATTTGGCAGTGGCCAGAAAAAGACTTGGTCCCTGGTGGATTGGATCCACCATACGCACTTAAGACATGAAGCACCGATATTAATGGTGTGATGATTTTCCTCCGGATGCTCTCTTTTCTGCCTTAACTCTTTATACATACAATAGTCATGCAACTCGTTGGTCATACCTTTATGACAACAACATTTTAACACTGTACTGTGAATCCCACCAAACTGAGCTTATTGAATTGCTACACCTCTATTTGGACCTCTGTATCCTTGCATCTATATTCACCTCCCGTCCACCACAAAACAGCCTCAATGACAAGCACCCATGAAAAGCACTGAAAAAAACAAAACTTTTAACATTTTGAAAGCCACATTTGTCTGTTTATGACCGGACCATTTGAGTTGACGGTGAACTTGGGCCTCTTCTATCCTCTTTGCATTAGGATGCACTCGTACACCCACCTGTCGTCAACTAATTAAGTCTGATCACACAGGTCCTTAGATTCTAATTTATTTATTTTACCACTAGCTGTTTATAGATGTGTGGGGGGGGGGGAAGCAAAGAGCAGGTGGCACCTGACACTGCTAATGTTTGTTACATTGAGACATTTGAGATCCACTCTCTTTAGTATCTGTTTTTTCTCAGACTTTCAGGAAGCAGAACAGGAGGTAGTTCAGGGGAAATGCAGGTGGGAATGTTTTCACTGGAATCTAATCTTAGGCCGGTGTGTTGCTCTGTAGGCATTAGACACGTCGATGGTAACTTAACACCACTTTAACTTGTTTCTGCTCTCAAAGAGGCAGCAGCTGTTGTCATGCAACAGACGGGACGCTGGCATTACTTGTTTGTCCATAAACGATTCATAACTTTATTGGGAACTTGAGAGTTGATTTCCGCCTGCCTTCAGTGGTGACGGGCATAAAGTGTCAACAGTCTGACTGTGAAACTGTCTTTCTTTATTTAAATGGGTGTCTTTACGTAGGAAATGTTGATGGTCCTCTTGCAGTTATAGTAGACTGCTACATGAAGTATTTCATTCATTGATTTTTATGTTATTTCTATTCATCTGCTGTTAGTATTGCCTTATTGTGTCTAACTTGTGTTCTGGATCATCATGGGAAACCAAAAAGTTACCTGGCAACATATAACCAGTAACGCCTGTTTGCATGCCTCCATGCTGGCTCGGATGCCGGCTCCCCTCCCCGTGAAGCTGTTGCTCAGTGAAGGCTTGGTTATAGATTTAATGTTGCAAAGCTTGTTAAGTGAGAAGTTGAAAAAGTCAAGCATGGAATCTACCATTTAAGAACCGGATATTATGTCCAGTCATAAAAACTATTAACATATAACGGGGTACTAAATTCCATGCATTGCTTCTTTAATACTGGTCTTATCTAGTCAGTTATTAGTTGATCGGTTCATTTTATTGTGAAGTCTGTAAAAACATTGATGGAAAGAATAAAGTTGTGGCTCCTTCCTAACATCTCCCTCTCCGGAGCAGCGCCGGCCTCCTCCTTACTCTCTCCTGCTTTTTTTTTTTATTGATATCCTGTTCAGGCTGGTTCCCTCACTGCCAGCGCTGACGATTGATGGCCTTTGTTTACGGGGAAAGGCACCAAAATCTCCGCTGCTTAGATCCGGGACCCGCAGCATAAACCAGTAACCCAGTTTTAATTGCTACCTCCATCTATCATCTGTCACGGCTAGCAAGGGGGGTTGATGCAGAATTTAACTACGGCTCTCCATCCGTTGGCTTTATCGCAGTCTTGGGGCTTTTTAACAAAACAAATGTTTGCGTTTCAGCCATTATGAGTCTGTAAACTAAAAGGTTTTTGAGGAAGGCACGACTACAGCATAACACCAAGCTGAGGAGCTGAGGGCCCTTTTTTTTGTATTTGTCAAATTTGTGTGTTTCTTTGTCGAGCCGCAGTGATCTGCTGGTCTGGTTTGGCTAGTTATCTGTACTGACGGTTGTTGCCGTTTCAACTGTAGCCTTGGAAACCAGCATGTATTCACGAACACTTTCCATTGCACGACAGCGGCACACATGCTTCATCCTGCATCCCAGCTTCCAGCCACCGTTTGAACGTTTCAGCTCCTTTTTGTCAGAACATTGTTATTTGCACTTTCACCTGAAAGCCTGAGCATTTTTGACGGGTACTTCCTCATCCAAACAGCAGAAAGGTCGGGCTGGGCATCATTTTACATTCGACCTGAGTTCACTAGATGACAAACACCACAGCCCCCCCCTAATTATTTTAGTTTTCAACATACTTTCTTGGTTTTACTTCTTAGACCTGCATGTGACTTTCAAAGCCAAGAGTAGGGGAGATAGAGGTTTAAAAGCAATAAATAACCAAATGTTATCAGGGCCCCACTGAAGGAAGAGGATGCAGCTGTACGAACAGGACCTGGGCTTGAGACAGGCGACTGTGTGCTCCAGGAGTCTTTGAGGCCTGGCTTGAAAATGGGAATCCGGAGGCGTGGCGTGGCAGACCTTGTCGTCGGTTTATTTTTCTTTGCCGTTTTATCCCTGGAGCAGAAGTAAACCACGCAAACCTCTCCTTTCTTTGCTCAAGATACCACCTCCCCCTACCGTCTGCCCCCAACACACAGACGCACACACACACACTCATTCTTTCATCTGCAACCATTACAGGTTGCCTAGGTAAACCAGTTGCCCTTTAGATCTCTTCATTTAGAATTTATTTATTTGTTTTTTGGGTGTGTGTGTGTGAGAAAATGTGATTGTTTAGGATCACCTTTTGGTGTATTTGCAAAAGTAGAAACCCACTAGTTTATGCCAGTAATATTTGTTTTGTTTTGTGCATTGGCAGGTTCTGTGACTTTTTATCCTGTTGTTTGAACTAGTCTTTTTCTATATGCCTTAATAAGAGAGTCCAAAAACGGTTTCAAACATATTTTTAAGTTGCTCTATGATTCTGAAATATGTTTTGTTTTTTTCCTATTTAGGTAAAGACCTGTCTTCCCGTAGTGAAACAGACCTTAACTGCATCTTTGGGAAGAGAGGAGGAAGACCTACCAATCAACAGGTAAAAGGCATCAACAGACGTTACATTATCCACAATTAGATAAAACATTTTCACTTTCCTTAATTTCTTTAATTTGGGCAGTCATTTTCCTAATTTCCATCAAAAATGTCTTTTTTGTCATTGTTTTATTTTAATTAACGATAAACTTATAAAAAAATAAATTCTAATTGGTTTCATTTCTGCAAATAAATCAACCTACAAAAAACACTTATCCAAAAAATCCAGCATGAAATACGCTCATGCAGAAACACAAAAGGAAGCAAACTATAAACATAAAACAATCAAGTGTAATGCATATGTACTCATGATATGAAAAAATATTATTTAAAAGTTTAAATATTTTTGGAACCGTATTTCCAATATGTCTTTCACAGTCAGTTTGTGATCAGTTTTGTTTGTGTAGTAATAATATCCAAAATATAAAATATGATCATGACTAATGGCTGTAATATGACAATAATAAAGATCATTTTCTAAAGGGAGAGGCCTGTGGTCTTTCTCCACCCACTCAATGTCTGGTGTGAACTGGGGGAGGAGATAGCATACATCTAGCCAGGTAGCTCCAGCTTCTCTGCCTCTGTCTTGGTAATTAAGGGCGACCACTGGTGCTGATGCCTCAATCATCGCTGCAGTATCATGTGATCCATGTGCTTCTACAGGGCCCCGCTCCTGAACAGCCTGTGGCCCTAGATTAGCCATGTCACATCGTGCAGCTTTAACACCGCCAACAGGCCACTGATGGCGGCAAGAAAACCTAAATCCAGTTAAGGGATTTGCACTCTTACCCCCTACTCCTCTCTCCGCAATCCCTCTCTTCTCTACGTCTGTCTTGGAGCGCTCACATCAGGTAGCTCTAATGCCAGAGGGCATTATTAACGGCAAATCAAAAATTGGGATGAGGTGTGTGGAAATCTGAAATGATGACGCTTGCAAAAAAAGAAAAGTTCTCTTTTTGCTTTTGGCATTGGCGGTTGGTCACTTCAAACGTCACCGTGCCAGTTGGCATTTTGCTGGCGCTCGAGCTTTTTGAAACGTAGCTTACAGGCTCAGACAGATGCAAGTTACATTTCATGCTCAGTAAGTTCCTTTGGCTTACTTGTGAAGAACAAAATCTTGCTCGTTATTGAATTAACGTGTGTTTAGTCTGTTCCATTTGTTATGGTCTTTATTTAGCTGCCTTGAAATAACAAACAGAGCTTGAGTTATTAGAAATTAAATATAAGTATCTGCTATTGGAACTTGTGTACTGAAGTATATATACTGACAAATAAGCACATAAGTATTAGCATAAAATCGCAATATAGTCCCACCAATAAGATGTGTAAATCCTTTTTCACATATTAGATGGTTTGAGTGCAAACAGATGGGACTTTTTTCTTACTTTGCATGAAAACGCACTGTGCCATTATTATTACAGAGACAAATACTTCTATGTATTTGTTATGATTTAATGAATCTTCATTTTATAAAGCTGGTATTTTTTTGTGTCACAAGTTCTGCTGACTCCGTACAGAGCCAGCAGGACAAAGACGAATGTAGCTTTTGTACGCAGAGACACAGAAAAGCCTCTCGCTGGCTTCCTCTGTTTATCTCAAGCAGTTGGCTTGAAGAAATTGGCATCTTAAAATCCATAAATTGCACGAGAAAAAACCTTTTCTATTCCCGCGCAGGTGGCGAGCCATAACATCACAATGGCTGCTGCTCCCTTTGCTGATTAACATTGGAAATGCGAGCAATATACACTACCATTTTCTCCCTAATCGTTTGGTTATGGGTTGTTATTTTTCAGCCAGGAGGGACACCATTGACCATATCGAAAACACTGAACACAATTACAATGGCATCCCATGAGGCCTTATGTTGAAGCCCAGCAACGTCTGAGGTTGCTGGGAAGAGGTAAAGAGGCTGATGGACCAATCAAGCTGTAGGCATTGTCCAGAATCTCCTTCGAGTGTCCGCGACACTGCCAGTGACCCTCAGTGCACCCTGATCTGTGCTTACAGCACCCACCGTTACCGGTACAGCACAAAGTACGCTCCACAGTATACACACATGCGATAATCTCCGTACCCTTAAGAGTTGTATTCTTAAGTAGTGACTCTATCAACGTTAAGTGTGCTGATTTAGTGGTGAAATGGATTGGCAGGGGTTCGCGCAAGTTGCATTATCGCATATCTGCATCCTGACAAGGTGAGGCCAGGAGACCCGACCAAATCTGGGTCGGCTTCTCCTTCCCGCTCATGAATCTCCCGGCTCCTCACCCACCACCCACGGCTGTCTCTCCAGCCTCCCTTCCACCAGTCCCACACTGCTGGGGTTTTCCTTCCTCCGCAGTGATGTGCTTCCTGCTTGCCTCTTATCGCTGCTCACAACGCTCCCTGAAATGCAGACAGACAGACGCGCACACACACTCTCGGCTGTCCCACATGCCTCTTGTTCATCAAAGGCCGGATTGGATGTGTTGAAAAGACCAAGTGAGCACATGGGACAGATTATTAACCCTCTTATATTAATTGGTCCGATACAGTCCGCCACTAAGTTTCCTTCACTATTGTGTTTCACCTGAGCTACTGTCTTTTAAATATTGTTTTGGTGTAAACCTTCCGGCCTGACAGTAGAGCTGTATCTTAGGTTAGAATTACCTCCTTTTTTAATTTTGAAAATAACTTTCACATTTGTGACATTTCCCACTTTAATGTATTTTATACAAGAGCTTTTTGATAAATAGATGCATGAGGAAAAAAAAAAAGTTTAAGACATAACTATTGTAGCTGTGTGATAAGAAATGTACAACTCCTCAATAGGCTTTAAAAACATTTATTTGGAGAGGTGTAATATCTGATCCAAGAATAATTGAAAATTCCCAAGCAAGCATGTTAATCAACTTTGAATAATACACTAATCAATGATAGCATTTGACAAATAGCATACTAAACATACTCAACTTTATTAGGTACACCTGTACAAGCTGATGCAATCCAATACAACTGTTCTGCCATAAATTCTACTTTTATGATGCTTATTCAGTATTTTTTTTATATAATGCAGTCCGGTATAACACCACAACTAACTTAAAAAAACATATAATTGAATATAGATATTACCGACAAATTGATTGTGGCTACAAACCCTGATCTACAGGACAAATGGATGACCACCATTTCACCCACAACCTCATTCCACCATACGGTGCAGCCACTTGAAAATGTATGCTTTAAAATCATTATTTACACTCCCTAACCAGTGAGGGTTATCAGGCTGTGGTGGAGCACCTGTCCATCTACATGGCTCTCTGTTATCCATCACCCGTCCCACGCTTGCAAGCCCCCTCCATCTCCTTCCTCCTCCTGTGCCCCTCAACACAATTACTCACAGCATGACAAACGACAGGCCCTCTCTGCCGAGATATCAAAAAGCCCCGGCCACTTCTAAATGAAGGCACTTTGGCAGCCCTGTGCTCCCCGTGCTTATCGGCCGGCGTGCAGTACCCCTGGCCGTCTGCGTCCCCCCATCTCTTTCCTCCACCTTCTCCACCACCGTGCCCTCCTCAGGGGGTTTAGTTAGGGGAGCCACATGGAGGGCCAGCCCGGCTTGATTTATCTCCCTTGCCCCTCTGCCCGACCACTCAGGCAGGCCGAAAGAGCCGACGAGGCTCCAACGGGCCTCAGCTCGAAAGCCCGGCATTAGCTGAAATAAACCATTCTGCCGCCCAGTGAAAAATGTCCTCTGATTGGCTAATTAATCAGTCAAAGGGGAGCGACGCGGCTTGTGACTTGAGGGACCCAAGCGAGGGACCCAAGCAGGCGACCGCAGAGGGCCTGCTGATAAATAGACTCCCCGCCGATTCATATATCAACAAAAGTTAGTCATTTTTTAAAGCCGCCAGCTCAGATGAAAGTGGAAACTAGCCATAGTTTTATTTCTCTACCTACATTTGCTTCTATGTTTCCTTTTCCTGGGGCGGGGTGGGGCGGGTGGTTGTTTTGAAAAAGATAAAATTCCTTTTTATCATCTTTGTTTGTTTGTTTGTTTTTTTTCTTACTTTTAAAAACAGGAAAAGTAAATGACTGTAAAAAGCCATGATGACATTTAAACTTTGTCATTGAAATAAATGTTAGAGAAAATTAAATTAGATCAGTATTTCAGGTTTTTCATTTAGTCTTCCAGATATTGATTTTGTGAGAAATCTTCAGCATAATTTCTAATATTTTACTGTAGCTTAATGCAATCAGCTAAATTTAATTTTCAGTTTATGATTCATTCTTCATAAGTGCAGTAAAAAACAATTTATAAATTTCTGTAATTTTACGGTGATATAAACCGATCAGTTTGTTAGTTCTGTACTCCTTAATTAAAAATGTCAGGGAAGAAGAATGGTTGAGTATAATCTGGTATGAGGCATGTTTTGACGTCTGAACCCTCCAGTCAGACATTCGGTACGGCTCACCCTGCTCTTGGGTCAGCATGACCTTTGCGGCCTCTCCCACTCCCACTCATGTTCAGGCACAAAGGGCCGAGGATCAGGCCTCATCGGGTGGCACCTGTTGCATGTTTTTCCTGCCCACGCGTTGGCCGCATGAAGGATCGCACGTCAGCAGGGCCTCCCCCGATACCACCATCTTAAGGAATATGGGGCAGGGGCGGCGGCGCGGTTTGGGGTCTCGAGTGTTTGGCAGATGTGTCGGCAAGGAGCCAGAGAGCCGATGGGCGGAGTCGAGCAGTGAAACTTTGCTGACAGCGCAGAGGCAAAATGTCTTCACTGAAAAAAAAATTGTCTTCAACTCGGGTTTCACAGGTTACTGCTTTGGCTTGTGAACGGCGAAGTGAGGTAGTGTTGTCAACATTATTAATAACTGGGCTGGTTGTGCCATTAACACATCTTTAGCTGCTATCATTTAAGACTAAGACATCAGTAGTATTGCGTCTTAACTGTATGCAAGTAAGCAGATTGACAAGTGTTTCTTCTATTTCTGTTATTTTAAATCTCTACATTTGTACCA